CGTCGACGAACGACTGAAGTGAATCGACGAGTTACATGAGCGGATAGGACTTCGGAATCACGAAGACCCGGACCAATCGGGAAGCCCGGCACTGTTCACAAAAAGGACAACGCCCTTCATGCCTCGACCACTCTACAGATAATCCAATCACCAGAGCGGGTCAAACTCTTCGTCGCGCATCCAACGCACCCGGAATCACTCAAATCCGAGTTCGTACGAAGAATCTACGGGGAAAACAATCAAATACACCTACGGGTCTCAGGAATTTTTCCGAGACACCCCTGGGGTGTCTCGGTTTTTCCGAGACACCCCAGGGGTGTCTCGGAAATTCCGAGACACCCCTGGGGGTGTTTCGGAACTCCGAGACGTCCGTAGGTGTAATTGATCGTTTTCCCCGTAGATTCTTCGTACGAACTCGGATTTGAGTGATTCCGGGTGCGTTGGATGCGTGACGAAGAGTTCGATCCGCTCTGATGGTTGGATTGTCTTTAGAGTGGTCGAGGTATGGAGGGCGTTGTCCTTTTTGTGAACAGTGCCGGGCTTCCCGATTGGTCCGGGTCTTCGTGATTCCGAAGTCCTATCCGCTCACGTAACTCGTCGATTCACTTCAGTCGTTCGTCGACGTCGATTAGGCTCATGTGGATTGGATGGTGACGTTCATCGTCGTTCGTTAACACTGAACCGGTTGTGGAGAACTATAGGCAATTTTTGATGCCTACAGTTACTTCTAGGAAATACCATGTGGGAAGTTAATTACCATATTGCATTATATATACATAAAAATTCACGCCTTCCCCTTGTAAAATCAATAAGATATCAATATAATTCCCTATAAGATTCTACTTATCATCCACAATGTAATAGGTCTCTATAATAGTCTTTAGAACATAAATTTGCATATTTGCCTTCAAATCTTTCTCCATGCTAAGGCTCCAATATACTTTTATAACTTCCAAATTTCAACAAGAATACCCCTTTCAATTACTCCAGGAATAAGTTGATGTAACAACAAAAACAACAAAGAGTTACCCCAAATATAGGCGGTCATTACATGAATCATATTATTCCATATAATTCTATTATGGGTCATTTCCTCCGCTAAGTAACTATTATCATATCCTTCTTAATTGATTTTATCTAAATTCTTTTAGGTCTTAACCCCAATGTTACATTAAACGCTGGGCACTTCTAGGCGTTGGACTTGGCGCCCAATGCTTAGACGTCTAGGCGGATCCTAAGTGGTTTTTGGGTGCTTTTTTTCTTTTTCTTTTTCTTTTTTTTAATTGCGATACTTGAAGATAAATATATATACTCAATCAAAGATGCATAATATAAATATACCAACACATATGCTATCCAAAACTATAATAGTCAATCAAAGATGCATACATACTAGATAGCAAGGCATATAATATCCTATATCCAGAAGTTTAGGTCTCAAAATATCAGTAAAAAGGCAGTCAAACAGGAATAGTCTAGACTCTAATATAATAAGTTAACAATATGCATCTAATCTAATCTCATCATCAATCATCATCATCATGAAGTTCCTCATCTACTCCATCATTGCTATCCTCCCCAAAATCCATCTCCATACAATCCTCCTCGTCTGAAACAACATCATCCGAGACAAGAGGCTCTTCTTCATCATCCATTCCTGAAGTAGAAGCACTTGAAGGTCTTGCTAGCCAAGAACTCCTCCTATTGTTCGCAGCCTCAGCCGCTCCTGATATAGCCTCTACCATCCTCTAAGTAAGGCCTAAGCCCAGATGAACTTCTTCCTCATCATCGGAGGTTGCTCCTTCTAGGATCCATGCTTGTGCCTTACTACGATCATTAGATAGCAGTAGGTTTTTGTTTTCTCCTCTCCTCTTCTTCTGGTTGAGCTTTGAGTTGAACTTCACATAGACAAGTTCCTCTAATCTCTTCGATTCTAACATATTCCTCTGCTTCGTATGTGTTTGTGTCGGGAACGATTTTCTTTGTCATTTCCATTAAAACGTTTTAACAGAAACAAAATGAATGAGCTTTACACGAGTAACTCCTCTCTTTACAAAGAAAACAAAATCGTGCTCCCAGAAACACACAAAAACTCTTACATAGTAACTTCTGCTTGCGTGGGATCTTTGCCTGTGCTAGGGATGCGTTATCCATGGATCACCGAACGTCTCCAAGTCGGATACAAAGAAGGCTGGATGTTAATGTTTCGACGGGGAAACAAGAACAGAAGTAAATATCTTAGCAAGATAAGATAAATACTCTTCTCAAAAACAAGTCAACGTTTGAACTCAAGAAAACACCAGAAGGCTTTGAGGATTCTCGGGAGTGGATTACAACTCCCTTTCCCTCAAAGTTCACCAAATATCATATTCTTTCTACTATCTGCTCTCCTGCCAATGTTTGGTACCGTGCACAAGTGTGTCAAGAGGTATTTATAGCAATTGGGAGCCGTAACCGCCAAATAGGACGCAAACAGCACCTTAGACATTGTCTACTTTGGGCGAGACATTGTCCACAATCTCGACCAAAGGAGACAGTGACAAGGGTTTGTAACTGCCGTCGAAGACGAATGGCTTCGACGAGATCGAAGACGAGCTTGAAGATCGAAGACGAAAGGCTTCGACGCGATCGAAGACGAGGCTTCGACAGAGGTGACTTCAACGAGGCCTCGACAGCTCCGATAGGCTTCGACGAGGGCTTCGACAGGGCTTCGACAGTCGACGAGGCCACTAGAGGCTCCGAGAGGCTTCAACGAGTTCGGGGAGCATCGATGAGGAACAAAACTTCCTTAGCGAGCGAAATTTTGTGGCGGCGTCGGGTGTGAGTGAGAAATAGGGTTACTGTAGTTTAGTTTAGGTTTGGGTTTTGGGTTTTGGTTTTTGGGTTTAGGTTTGTTTATTTCAATGTCCAAATTGGTTTTCTTTTTTTTTAAGTGTTGGGCGGGCCGTTTAAGCGGCCCGCATAACTCTGGGCGGCCGTGTAGGCGCTCCGAGCATCTAAACTTGGCCACTTAGGGTTTTTTGAGACGTCATGGGCACCGCCTCCGCCTAGGGGGACGCCTAGGTAGCCACCCAAGGCATTTTTTAAAACATTGACTACCCCTATCTCTCTTGACCTTGTTCACTATAATATTATCATTTTTCCTAATAGGTGCATTAAATGTCTCTGCCATACATGACCAAACCAAGGTTATTGATAGCGGATCGCGTCGCGTCGCGGCGAGGGACCGCTAAGGCTATTGCGCGCTATTGAGGCGAAATAGCGGCAAATAGCGCACAGTCAAATAGCGGACAAATTTAAATATATTTAAATATCCTAAATAATAAGAAAATTCATAAAAAAATCTAAAAATTCTACAAATGCATACTTAATGCCTAAACATGAAGTAGATGTGTACAAGAACAAGAACAAATAACAAGAACAAATAAATAAACAATAACAATATAAGTACTATAACGGTAAAACTTTATTTCTTCACTCTTTATTCATACAATAACAATATAAAGTACTATAACAGTAGAACTTTATTTCTTCAACTCTTTATTCATACAATAAATAAACATGTTATATTTCTTCATTCATTCAATAACTCAATAAGTTATAAATTTATAATGATTTGATTGATTTCAAATGTTGATTATACAGGTTTTCTGGAAGTTGGAAATCTCAAGGGCACTAATCATTTCGGTGCAGCTGCTGGTTATGAAGATCAACCCGTTTATCGCAAACATTTTAATTTGTTGTAAATTTCTTGTATTATTAGTAAATAACAATTGATAAGCTTGTTGTATGAGTATGAATGAAACTATGAAAAAAATCAAGAAATATAGCATCATTGATTCTCGAAATACTGCAGTCCTGAACGTGATGGAAACACCATTTATGGAATACATATTAATTTGTTGTAAATTATTTCACGTATATTTTCATGTAATCATGTGATTAAAGGTTAAAACATCTGTAAATATCAAACAAGAGTCCAAGACAGGTGTGCTAACGTGCCATGTCTAATAAAGATGGAAACACCATTTATTATTGACCTTCTTCAGAGTTATTCTTGTTTATTATCTAATATAGGTAAAGGAACAGAAAAATTAGTTATGCAACTATGCAAGTTGGAGAAAGCAATTCAGGCACAAAAGGAATGTGAGATGAGGTAGGAATTCCCAAAATTTGGACCTAGTCCCATAATTTTATACATTTTCCTCTGTGGCAGATCTAGCCAACAGAGATGGGCGCCGGAGCCTGGAGCCTGGAGTGGAGATGATGACGTCGATGGACTCCGGAGCCTGGAGCTTGTAGCGGAGATGATGACGTCGCTGGAGCCTGGAGCCTGCAGCGGAGATGATGATGTCGAAGGAGCCTAGAGCGGAGAAGATGGGAGCGGAGCTGCGGAGTGCGAAGATGATGAAGTCGAACCGTCGAAGGAGCCTGGAGCGGAGCTGCGGAGTGCGGAGATGATGAAGTCGAACTGTCGAAGGAGCTGGAGCGAAGAAGATGAAAGGCGGCTAGGGTTCGGGAGTGAACTGAGGGATTCGTCGCTTTTTTAGCCTCTTTTAACAAGCGGGTTCGGGTTCGGGTCGGGTTTGGGGCAAAAAAAATCAAAACACATTTGGTAGCGGGTTAGCGGTTTTAGCGGGTTTGGCCGCTTTTATCTGCTTTTGGCCGCTTTTATCCGCTATTGAGCGCTTTTACCCGCTATTCGAGCGCTTCGCGGTTTTTTCCGCTAAATCCCGCTGCGAACCCCCTACGCGTAGCGCTGAGGGGCCGCGATCCGCTATAGCCCCGCTATTGCCCCGCTATTGGCCGCTATTTACAACACTGGACCAAACGGTATCAATTGATTCTCATTTTCTATCCTCATTAGCAGCACTAGCAACTCTAACTCCTATGAATGCACTCATTGCTTATCCTACCATTTAACGAGTACCAACAAGAACCAACTGATAATAATAATAAAACTTCATATTTGAAAAATCAGACACAAATTAGATGTATACCTTGGGGGAAACAACAGTGGCAGCCTTGACAACAAAACCCCTGTAGGACCTCTGCACAATGCCGAGCCCAAAAGCTCCAACTAATGAGGGGGCGGCAAATGTGGGTTTAGAGGCGCGAAGCCCATTAAAAGAAGGGACTTTTCCAGTGACTACGGATCCAGATAATTGAAAGGCTGCCATTGATGAATCGAACTGAAGTACAAATATCAACTAGAAATTAGTCAAAAGTGGAAACTTCTCATTTAAGAGTAAAAATCTTAAATTGACTCTGGAAAAATAACTTCTTTGTTGGGATTAATCAAACAATAAGTAATGACTCCAATATTGACTGCTATTTAGAAGGATTTAAAATTGGCTAAAATCTAAAACGAAAATTTGGGGAAATATTAAAAAAATGTAGAAAACTCTGTGCATCTACCCTTGAGTTAAATCATTTGGAAAAAATATAAAATCTCAAAAAAAAATAGACGAAGTGCGAAGAAAGTACCAATTGTTGAAAGAATTGAAAGGTGCCCGACACATTAAACAAAGACGTGATGTAGAATTTTTGATCAAAATCTCACCTTTGTATCACTCTCTTCAGTGAGAAGATAAGGTCTTTTGACCAAAATTAGAACTTTTGAGAAACCCTAATCGAGATCAATTACGGAGACGTTGTCGGGTTTATCTGAAGACTTGTGTATGATGTTCCTTCTGCACTAATTTACTAACCTCTTCCTCCCCATAATTGCATTCAATTAATTTCCACATTTCATCTGATTTGCTGGTGGATAGTAAGCCATTCGTTCACATTTGTGTTTGCAGTTTTAGAGCTCCCAAATTTATATTTTGCATGAACTTTTTTTATCCATGATTTTTTTAGTGCTCTAAAAAGTTATTTATCTATGATGAAAGTTTAAGTTATTAAATATATGAGTAGTATGTTGGTAGCAATTTTTCTGTAGCATTTAAAATACCGACAGTCAGGATGCATTATGTGTGCATGTACAACAATTATAGGAAAAAATAGGACTCTGAATAGATTAGAAACAAAGTTAATTTATTTTCACTTTAAGGATTTTGCGTAGATAAAGTGAAACTAAAACTTTTTACAATTTTTTCTCAAAAAAATCTACACTAAATTAATCATCGATTTTCGTGACTAATTCGACTCTTCTTAATGTACACAGTTTACTCCAAAGTCTAAACAATAAAAGAAACAAACAAATTAAAATATTCTATGTTCCAAGTTTATTGGAATAGTTTTCAACTAAAATTGGAGCGAACTCACATTATTTCTTTTCGTACTATGTAAAAGATTGTGAGGTCTTTAATTTCATTTTTTTTTAAGTATATGCAGTCTCCAATTTACTACCTAGATGATAACTAATTAAGTATGCTCATGGTGAGGTTAATCCCTGAGTAAGCGAAAGATCTACCTTCAGTAATATGTCTCTCTATTGATGAAAATCAAGGATTCAACATGAAATAAACTAGAATTCTATATTCATATTATTATTATTATTATTATTATGTTTTGTTGGCATTTAAATATGCATTTTGCTTAGGGGTGGATTCGGTTCGGATACGGTTCGAATATGACACTTATCATATCCATATCCGCTTTTTAAAAACGGATATGGATACGATTCCAATATTAATCGGTAAGAAAAAGGCATTATCATATCCGCACTAAACAGAAACGGTTACGGTTCGGATATTAGATAGTCGAATACGGATATGATACAGATATTAATCAGATATTGGAAAACAGATATGATACAAATATTAATCGAATATTTGGAAAACAGATATGAATATAATAAACGGAAACAGTTACGGTTCGGATATTAGAGTCGGATACGGATATGATACGGATATTAATCGTGTGTGTGTAATTTTAATAACTCGCAAATAACTAAAAATTAATATACTTGCAAGCAAAAAAATTCCAGAACATTGCTACACATATTCAGATATGCACTCTCTCGTGGTATATAATTTTCAAAAATTGACATTACAAACTTACAGTTACACATCAATATGCATTCTCTATTTATTTGTGTCTATGTGGGTATTGGGAATGGGGGTGGAATTGGCACTTAGGTATCAGTTGAAATTTTTTAGCACTAATTTTAGTAGCCTGTAGTTCCTAATTCCGAAGCAAGCTTTAGCTTATAACTTACTACTTTAATTCAAGGTGCATGTGCTCTAGAACTTCACAAAATTTTAAGCTAAATCATTTGTCAAACAAACTATGTCTTTTCAGTTTTCAGTCAATAAAGGATAGCAAATTAGGGCTTTTTATCAAATAAATTAGGGCTTTCCACTCAACGAAGGGCTAGCAAATTAGGATTTTTTATCAAACAGATTAGGGCTTTTCATTCAACCAATTAGAGTTTCGAATTCACCTTAGTGTTAGAAGAAACCGAGGAGGATAAATTTTCGGAGGTCGCTGTTGATGGTCGGTCGAGCTTGAAGGCGGCGGCTTGAAGTCGGTCGAAAGCAGAGCCTTGGAGACGTCTGAAGTCGAAGGCGGAGGCTTGGATACGGCGGAGGTTGAAAACGGAAGGCGGAGGTCGAAGGCGGAGGGCGGAGGTCGAAGTCGAACGCTTGGAGACGGCTGAGGTCGAAGGTCGAAGGCGGAGGGCGGAGGTCAAAGGCGGAGGCTTGAATGGAGACGGCTGAGGTAGAATTTTCGATCAAAATCTCACCTTTGTATCACTCTCTTCAGTGAGAAGATAAGGTCTTTGGACCAAAAATAGAACTTTTGAGAAACCCTAATTGAGATCAATTGCGGAGACGCTGCCGGGTTTATCTGAAGACTTGCGTATGATGTTCCTTCTGCACTAAGTTACTAACCTCTTCCTCTCCATAATTGCATTCAATTAATTTCCACATTTCGTCTGATTTGCTGGTAGATATAGTAAGTTAAAACATTCTTGAGAGACAACATAAGCTAATCTACGTTGTCATGAGAGTGAAAGATGCTTCTAGAAATAGCTCGCGAGGAAAGCGACCGTGAATGCTCCCCTTGGACCAGGTCGAGTATGGAACTTACACCTTGAAACTTGATCCGGAAAGAAAATAACATCACTTTTTCGCTTTATTTTCTTCTCTTCTTTTTGTTTTGTCTAATATACTTCTTCCCTTTGTTTTTCTACTTAATAAAACACAAAAGGGTTAAAGAATGGAACACAAGAAGCAACTCATTTCCTTCATAAACCTAAAGGACGCCTTGCATGTTGATAAATGTAATGTTCTCCAAGATTTTTAGATGTTAATGAATGTAAATGCATTTTTCTGAGATAAAACATTATATAAATGCAAAATTGCTATTATATCTGATTTACATTTATAGATTAAAATCTCAACTCAAAGTAACAATAATTTTCACCTTAAGTTACCGATTTTTGTCCTTTGTCTCGGTTCTTTAGCATTTTTTCTCATAGTAATACTAATCATTATTCAACAATGAGCTTTTACGCTAGAAAAACATCAATAATATTTCCAATACACATTGCTTCTTTCCTTCTTTCTTCTTTCAATAGGAAAATCGTGATAACCAAGCCCTCCACTCTTTTTTATAAGCGCACAAAACAAGAAATGTGTTCATTCACTGTCCATGTCATTAAATGTGCATAAAGGAATATTAACCGTAGGATCATTGACTTTGTAATTATGCACTGGTCCATATGTCAAAATACATTTAGTGCACATTTAATACACATTTAATTTGACATATTAAATTACTTTTTCTTTTTAGAAATTTTTTCTTCGACTTTTAGATTGTGTAATCACTATATCACCATTCTAGCATAGAAAAGACCTCACTCTAAATGGTTTCAAGTCAATGTTTGAGTTGAACTGAAGTATATACTATTGCTACTATGTGCATATATTTTTTAAGAAAATTATATCAACACTTTTTAAACAGAAGAGAATATTCTAACATCTGATATTATAAAAAATAAATATAGACAATTGAGTGATTAGCAAAAGAGAACTTACATCATAAAAGCGTGAATAATAAGATAAAGAGGAAAAGTAATAGTATTGTCAGCAATACTACCAACAGCAAACTACAATGTAAAGTTAACCTATTTTCTGAAGCGCAACTACTGGTCATAAGCATCGAGGTTTTCATATATATACTTTATAATTTATTAAAAAAGATCATATAATCTTGTATAATAAAATTGATTTAATACTTAATAGTAATATCGTTGTAATTATATCATTATTAGAAAATATTCTTCATGAACCAGTATGTTCTTTATGATATATAAGTTATGCACTCCAATTTTTTGTGTCTTTTATAGAGCCAAAAAAATTGAATGTGAGCTTCTAACATTTTGTTCTCACAACAGCAAAATTAACTTAGTAAATATGGATATTCTAAATGAGTTATATGTCCTATATACAATACATTTGCCCTAGACAAGTGAGTTATAATAGTATTTTTCATTCACATTATTTGGGGTAAGATTTGTTAGGGACCTTGCATCAAAGGAAAAAATTTATATTTAGAGCACATGGAAAAATATAGTATAATCTCTCTGCTCTAATTTTGTAAGAAAATAATTCTTTATACTTTTAGTTTTTACTTCTATGATATGGAGAATGAGCTATAAAATTTAATGAGAATATTATATAATATAAATATGAGTGAAACCATAACTAAAAACTAATGTGAATATGAGTCAAACCACAACTAAATGTTTAATGGACGTATTGTAAGTAAATTTATATGCAAATTTCCTTTGTGAATTGAATAATCACTCATCTTTGAAGACTTCAAGATACTAAAAATAGAGATGTTGTACTAGATCAATGTGTTTATAACTCACAAATAGTAAACCACATGGTTATAGTCTGGGTTGAAGGAAACAATAACAATATTTTATTTGGGAGAGAAATTATTGAGTTGATGATCAATCACACAAAACTTTATTTTCTATTTTATTTTATTCTATTTTTATCAATTTAAATAACTATGATATTCAACCGCGTGCATTGCACGTGCATCTCAACTAGTAGATAGAAAATATCTGGGATTGTTGAAAAAATAACTCACTTGCACATTTGGTGGAAATTGAGGGCGGATATGAAGGGTGGACGGTCATAGGGTGAGCCCTCTAAATTGATGGCTAGAACCCATGGAATTCCCACTACAAATTGGGAACCCTAAAAAATCTCTCCCATTTTCTTCTCGCTTTTCAAATTTCTTCAAATTTCTCCCATCTTTAATATTTTTAGGTCCTGGTACTAATCCCTCAAATCCCTCAAATAAGGGAAATTGCTTTTAGGTCCTAGTATTAATCCCTCAAAGAAGGGAAATTACTTTTAGCTTCTAGTACAAAGTTGAGCTCACTTCAGTGAAACGAAGAACAAATTTATGTATTAAAATGGCATTAGGAATACAAATTGACGACTTCAATGTTAAGGGAGCAAAACTAAAAGAGTTCAGAAATTCTTTAGAATATATTTTTTTTTTAGATCAAAACCTGTGCATTACAAAGGGATTACAAATTATGCGCTATTCAGGCATTAGATGAGATCGGGTGTTTGAATTACAAAGCTAGCTTATAGGCATTTTCTCAAAACAAGGTACTCCAAATTGACAAGATCGATGAAGCTCCAAGTCT